CCCTCCCCCACCTCCCCGCCATTCCCTCCTTGCTGCCAATAAAGATGTTTCCAAGACTCCAGGTCTACACTGCGGTTCCCTCTGCCCAAGCCCCCCAGCCCTGCCTTCCCTCCCAGGCCATGACCCCCCCCAGCTTTATGGATGACATGCCCTCAGGGCTGGGGGGCCCCCCGAGCCAGCACCCCAGCTTCCCTTCCTCAGTGAAGGGAGCCTGTGATCCCAGCAGGAGGGGTCTGGCCCCACGGCCTAGAGACTCAGGTCAAGAGATGCAAGATGGGGCCTCCTCCCCAGCCAGGCTGCTCTCAGACCCTCCTCTGCCCTGCCCTGACCCCCAAACTGCTCCGGCCACCCTGGCTTCCCTGTGTTTGTGAAACGGACTAGGCTCCTTGCTCACCCTGCTCCCACTGCTGCCTAGAAAGTTCTGTCCCCTGCTGCCCCTCCCCCTCCACTCAGCCTCTTGATGTCCCTGGAGGCCTGGCGGTCAGGTCCTTTCCAGTCCCTCCCCATCGTCACACACACAGGTAGGCACAGACCCCTCACCTCTTGGCCCCGTCTCAGTCAGGACTGTGTTCGGACCTGACCAATGGGGCTGGAGAGCTTTGCTTCCCTCCCGTAGCAGGAAGTCCAGCCACAGCCCCTTTTATCAGGAGAGGAAGGGTTTCCCCAGGGACCCCTTCTCCAGCAGATTTTGCGTTTCGCTCTCATCTGCCCGAATAGGGTCACGTGGCCACATGCAGCTGCTGGGGAGGCTGGGAGGGCAGGGAACAGAATTGTCAGGACAGGATCGGACACATTGCCAGGAAGGCACCCGGCCCCCCGGCAAAGCCAGAGGAAGAGAGATGGCCTCCTTGGGTGCCTGCTGCCCCAGCGCTGGGTGGGGCTCGGAGCCCGTGGTGGACCGGGAATCGCTGTGTTGGCCACAGCCAGGGTGGCAGAGGCTGGTGCTGGCCACCCCTGTCCCGTGGAAGGCACAGCAGCTCCCGCCGGTGGACCTGGGGCCTCTGACTGCCTGTCCTCGGCCTCTAGGAACCATGTAGCTTCAGGTTCCCCACACCGTTGCTGCTGTGAGCGCTCCCCGACCTCATTCTCTGTGGGTGTGGAGTGTGGATCTGTTAAAGAGGTGACATGCGTCTGCGGACGGTCTGACGTCAAGCCAGCCTTGCATTCCTGGAGCGAGCTGTGTTGAGTGAAGGAGGGAGTCCTCCCCACCGCACGCTGCGCCCCGGCTGCTGACCCAGATGGGCTGCGTCGATGGGCGCCTGTGCCCTCAGGTAGGGGGGAGCCCAGGTCAGGGGAGAGGGGAGCGTGAGATTGGGGTGTTGATTTCCCTGGCTCCCCCTTCTGGGGTGACCTCAGTGTTACAGGTTGGATTGTGTCCTCCCCAAGTTCATAGACTGGAGTCCAAACCCCCAGGACCTCAGAGTGTGGCCTGATTTGGAAAGAGGGTCTTCAGAGAGGAGGTCATGTTAACATGGGATCGTTGCAATGGGCCCTGATCCAATATGACCGTGCTCCCGTAAGAAGGAAAATCGTACTCGCAGAGACAGCCACAGAGGGAAGGTGATGTGAGGAGACGCAGGGGGGACGGCCGTCCACAGGCGGGGCCGGAGGCCTGAGCAGGTCTTTACAGCGGCAGGAAGGGCCCAGCCCTGCCGACATCCTCGTCTTGGACTTCGGGCTTCCAGGACGGTAATTTGTTCTGGGTACACCCGATCCCTTACCTGAAGGTCACACTCCTCCCAAGGTGTAGATCACGCCCCTCTGTGGTTCAGGGACCTCCCACCCCCAGGTCTTGAAGCAGTTCCACGTCTCTCTAACCAGCCCAGGGCTCCACAGTCACAGTGGGCTTCCCCGGTGGCTCAGATGGTAAGGAATCTGCCTGCAGTGCGGGAGACGAGGGTTTGATCCCTGGGTCAGGAAGATCCCCTAGAGAAGGGAAAGGCAACCCATGCCAGTATTCCTGCCTGGAGAAGTCCATGGACAGAGGAGCCTGGTGGGCTGCAGTCCAGGGGATTGCAAAGAGTCGGACATAATCAAGTGACTTGCACACACACACATACAGTCACCACCGCTGGTGGTTCCCTCCAAGACCACACCTTTGTAAATAGACCCTCTCTGAATTGTCCTAACATATCAGCAACTGGGACCCTGGCCGACACACGCTGACGTTTTAGCAGCTTTTTCGGAATTTGCTTTTATTTTGCTTAGGGTTTTGCATTTATGTTCCCGAGTGAGATTGGCCTGTAAATGTTCCTTTCTTACACTGTTTGAATGACTGTCTGCAGGGCTACCCTCAGACCTCATAGACTAAGAGAATCTGCCCCTTCTTTCCCTGTCCACCGGAGGGCTGTAGAAAGCTGGTCGTCTGTTCATTCACAGGTTGGCAGAATCTCCTATAAGATTCCCTGGACCCAGGGTTTTCTTTCTTTTTCGCTTATTGGTTGTGCTGGGTCTCTGTTGCTTCGAGGGCTCCTTTCTAGCTGTGGTCCCCGGGCTCTAGCACACAGGCTCAGTAGTCGTGGCTCCTCTATGGTTCTATGGCCTGTGGGATCTCCCCGGATCAGGGATCGAACCCATGTCTCCTGCGTTGGCGGCGGAGTCTTTACCACTCAGTCAGCAGGGACGCCCCCGGTGTCTTATTTACGGGATGATATTTAACTACTGAGTCATTTTTAATAGTTTGGGACTTGTTGAGAATTCTGTTTCTTCTTGAGCTAGTTTAGGAAGCTCCACTTCGGTGAATTTATCTGTCTGCATTTCCACATTTATTGCCACAACATCGTTCATGCTGTTCTCTCGGTGTTTCATCTCACGTGTATTGTTAGCTATTTCCTGTCAGCACTTGGAAGGTATTCCACTGGCTTCTGTTCCTACTGTTGAGAAATCTGCTTTAAATGGAATCGTGGGGATGTCCCTGGCAGTCCAGCAGTTAGGACTTCACATTTCTGAGAGGTTCCATCCCTGGTTGCGAAAGTAAGATCATGCAAGCCATGTGGCCAAAAAAAAAAAAAAATCGGATTGTGAATTGTGTCTTTTGACATCGCTTTCCCCTGTTGATGCTCGGCATTTGAGTGTTTGTCTCTGATGTGCTGGGGTCTCACACGGGACACGCCTGGGGGCCTCGCTCTGTCTGGTCGTGCCTGCTGTGTGCCGACCCCTGCTCAGCTTGGACGTTTGCTGGTGCCCTTGGCCACGGCAACTCGGGATCCAAGCTCCTTCTCTTCAGAGCTTCCCGTGTCCCACGAGGCTTGGAGTCTGCCGCAGACACTGTATCAGAGTGCCGCTAAGTGTCACAGCTCAATTCAGCTCAGTCGTCTTCGACCCTTTGCCACCCCATGGACTGCAGCACGCCAGGCCTCCCTGTCCATCACCAACTCCCGGAGCTTACTCAGATTCATGTTCACTGAGTCACTGATGCCATCCAACCATCTCATCCTCTGTTGTCCCCTTCTCCTCCCGCCCTCAATCTTTCCCAGCATCAGGATCTTTCCTGAGTCAATTCTTCACATCAGGTGGCCAAAGTACTGGAGCTTCAGCTTCAGCATCAGTCCTTCCAATGAGTATTCAGGACTGATTTCCTTTAGGATGGACTGGTTGGATCTCCTTGCTGTCCAAGGGACTCTCAAGAGTGTCGCAAATGACACCCAAACTACTTAGCTCATGATGCTGGGCCTGTTGGTCCCTGGCTTTGCTCACGGGGTGGTTCTCGTGGCCCAGGTTGTACATGGGTCATCGGTGGGTCTCGGGTGGTTCTGCCCTTGGGGGCCAACAGGCTTTTGGCTGGGACGGTAGGGTGACTGGGACACACATCTTTTTGTCATCTGGCAGGCTGGCTTGGGCCCGTTCACATGGTGGAGGCTGGGCTCCAAAGAAACAGTGGATGTGAATGTTTGCACTGCATTTCACTCGTCAAAGCCGGGGTAGACAGACATGCTCCAGCTCTCAGTGGGAGGAGGTCACGTCAAGGGGTGTGGGTGCAGGCCAGAGACATGGCAGTGTGTTTTAATCTTACATGCTTTCTATATCCGTCTGCTGGGACTGCTGTAACAGAAGGCCACAGAAGGGACAGCTCACACAATAGACATTTGTTTTCTCGTGATTCTGGAGATGAAGCTCAAAATCAAGATCCAGTGAGGTGGGTTTCTGGGGAGACTCTCCTCCAGGCCTTCCTGCTGTGTCCTCACATGGCCGTGCCTGTGCATGAGCTGAGACGTATAGAAAGAGAGAGAGAGAGAACTGCTCCCCCTCCTTAAAAGGCCGCAGTCCTATGGGATCAGGGCCCCACCCTTATGACCTCATTTGACCTTTGCTGCCTCCTTAGAGATCCCATCTCCACACACAGTCACCTTGGGATTAGGGCCACACCAGGTGGATTAGCCGGCGTACGGGTGGGTCCATAACGCCTATCTCACCACACGATGAATGAGTGCAGGAGACCCCAGGGCTGGGAGGTGGCGGTTGTTACTCCGGCCCACACTCCGCTGGCCACAACTCCTTCCTGTGGCCCCGCCTACCTGCAGGGAGCTGGGACCTGCAGAGGGGCGACTCAGTTGCTCGGGTGGAGGCAGGTGGGGTGTTGGCCACGATCAGCTGGTGTGTGTCTTTCTCCAGTCTCACTGAGCACCCAGAGACACAAGACAAGGAGCCTGCCCCTGGTCCCAGCATTCTCTTGCATTTGTAAAACTCAGGGTCACCTTGAAAGACGTTCACACACATCTGCTCATTCAGGTGTGTGCTCAGTCGCATCTGACTCTTTGCGACCCCATGGACTGTAGCCCGTCAGGCTCCTCTGTCCATGGGATTCTCCTGGCAAGAATACTGGAGTGAGTTTGCCATTCCCTTCTCCAGGGGATCTTCCCGACCCAGGGACCGAACCCAGGCCTCCTGCACTGCAGGCAGATTCTTGACCGTCTGAGCCCCCAGGGAAGGCCTGTCATTTAGGAGCTCATCATAATAGCGTCGGCGGGAAGGGGAGACGGGCCAGAGGAGTCGTAGAACGGTTAAAGTTCATGTGGGTGTCGAGTGTCAGGTGTGGCGTCAGATGGCGGGTCCCTGCAGAGCCACTGATGGGGTGACCGTGCCCTGTGGCCCTGGGGTCTGGCCGTGGTGGCAGTGTCCTCGGCGGTGACCTCCAGCAGCAGCGCCCGCGGCTGTGTGATCGGCGGCTCTGACCCGTGGTGGTGGCGGGCTTCTCGGAAGGCAGCGGCCATGGCCCGTGGCGGTGCAGTCCGGCCGCGCAGTGGTGCAGAGCTGGGGTGGCGTCTGGTCCCCGGGGCGTGGTTGTGCTCCCCGCTTCCTGCAGCTCCTGCTGACCCCCACCCGCCCTGGGTTCCACTTGAGGCCTGGCGATCTTCCCACAGATCCCTTCCTGCTTCAGTGACCAGAGTCAGCTTCTGCCACTTGCCACCAGCGACTCTGGCTGCCACGGCTGAGGGAGCTGTCTGAGTCTGCTTAGGCAGCTATGACAGAAATACTGTGCACTGTCAGGCTGAAACAACAGATGCGGTTCTCAACAGTTGCTGAGGCCGGAAGTCAGAGATCAGGGTGCCAGCCTGGTTGGGGTCTGGGGTGGGGGCCCTCTTCCGGGCACGCAGATGGCTGCCTCTGGCTGTGTCCTCAGTGTGGGTGGGGAGAAATATCACGTCTTCTTACGAGGATGCTAATCCAGTCCTGGGACTCCACCCACCCTCATGACCTTATCACCCCCAAAGTCCCTGCTTCTTCGTTCCATCCCCTTGGGGCTGGGCTTCAACATGAATTTGGGGGGTGGGGACCCAAGCATTTGGTCCACAGCAGGAGCTTAGGAATGAGAGGCCAGGACTCCCCGCTCAGGTCTGAAGCGGGAGCCAGGCCAGAAGGTGGTCCCGCCTCTAGGTCGCCAGTGTGGCGGGGCGGGGTGGGGGGGTGGGCAGGGGGTGGGCAGGCAGCCGTCTGTCCCCACAGCAGCCCGTGTTTCCTGGGGCCCGTGCAGGAGCAGGTGCAGCTGCCGGGCGTGGCAGGAGCCTGGGTCAGGGCCAGCGCTGTGGAATGCTGCAGGGCACTGCCCCTCCCCGCGGGGGATGAGCACGTGCCCAGCGCCCGGGGCGGCGGGTGTGCTGGTGGCCACAGCCCCCCAGCGCCGCCGCCTGGCTCCCTGCCGGCTGTCCTGGGCCACTGGCTGGGGGCCTGGGGTGAGTGGGCAGCTGCCCTGCAGAGGCGGTGCCCCTGGAGGAGGGGAGAGCGAGGCGCCTCCTGGGCCTGGGGTGATCCTGCTCCGCATCACACCCTGGGCACACATTCCCGGGACATTCGAACCGAGCTCATCACCCCCCCAGGGCCCTGCCTTCTCAGATTCCCAGGGACAATGGGGACGGGGGTGTCCAGAGAGGACAGACTTGGCCCTCTCTGCGCCCAGCATGGTGGTGCTGAGCTGGGACCCCAGCCCAGGGCTCTGCCCACCCCCAAGGCCCCCATGCCCTGATTGGGGCTCAGCCAACGGGGGTCCGTCCTGGAGGTGCCCACGGTCCTTAGTGTTAGATCTTCCTCTGTGACAGGCAAGACCTGGATGGGATGACGACACGCACCCGCGTTCCTGCCCGTGTGGATTTCAGGGTAATAGGACACTGCAGAGCCTTCCTCCCTCCTGCCAGCCAGAATCTCAGCTTCCTCAGGGTGGGACCCCGGATTGGGTGCATGGCTTCTCTTTGCTTTTCAGGGTGCTGTCCTGTCTCTGCCATTGGCCCCGGGGCCTCGTCGATGCTCCTAAAGGCGTGAGTGTCAGAGGTCATCTCAGAAATGGGGGCTGACGTCTGAGGTGTGGACCCACCTGGGCTCCCAAAGAACCTGGGCAGCTGACCTGGGGCTGTGGGTCAGCCCCAGGGTGGGTGGGAAGACAGAAACCCGAGGCTCAGAGCTCCCCTGCTGCAGTGGGGGCTCTCTCAGGGGCCTTTACGGAGCAGCCTGCAGGGACCGACCTCCCCAGCCCTAGCAGCCAGTGGCGGGGCGTGCAGGTCGGGGACCAGACTCAGAAACTGGGGTACTGTGGCCCCACTAACCCCCGGGCAGCAATCTGCACCGGGATCCCTGCTGCCAGGGGACAGGAATGAAACCCCCTCCTCTATACCCCTGCCTATGGGGAAGGGGTGGTCTGAGGGGTTGGAGGGGAGCAGGGAGCAGGCAGGAGAGCTGGGTGGGGGAGTGAGGCAACGGCCTGGCCAGAGCCGACATGGTCAGTCTGTGGTCCGTGGTGTCCGGTGACAGCTCAGGGGTAGTGGGAGGGACAGGTGCGCGAGGGTGAAGCCAGCCCAGAGGAAGGCGCACTTGAAAACCGGGACCCACCCGTGCCGCCCAGGATGCCTCTTCCGGTGGTCGTTTCCTTTGCTTTCGGAAGGGGGGCCTCCTCCCCCGCCCACCCTACTGGGGTGAGCAGCGTCGGAGCCCCAGGGTCTGAGCCTCGGCCGGGCGCGCAGCCCCGGAGGGCAGGGCGCTCAGGTGGCCCCAGGTGCCGCGGGGGGCGCATCGCCCAGGCGGGGCGCGGGTGGGGCAGGACCGGAGGGCTGGCACCTCGGCCCCGCCCGCCGCGCGCGCCGCCCCGCCCGCCGCCCCGCCGGCCGGCGCACGGCGCTCCCGGAGCTATTTTGAAAGTGACCCTGGACTGGGCGGCCCGCGGGGCGGCGGGGAGAGGCGCGGCGGGGCGCGGGAACCATGACAGAAGATGACCGAGGCGGCGCTGGTGGAGGGCCAGGTCAAGCTGCGGGACGGCAAGAAGGTCGGGGCGCGCGGCGGGCGCGGGGCGGGGCGGGCGCGGGCGGCGGCTCACGCTCCCTCTGTCCCCGCAGTGGAAGACTAGGTGGCTGGTGCTGCGCAAGCCTTCGCCGGTGGCAGGTGAGCGGGCTCGGGGCGCCGGCGCGGGGTCGGGGGGCACGCGCGCGCACGATCGGCCGCCGGCGGCCTCCTGCGTACGCCCGGCAGGCCCGGAGAGGCGGCCAGCTCGCCCGAAATAGCCGGCGGCGGGCGCCCCGGGGCGAGGGCTGTAACCGGAGAGCACCCCGGCGTCGGCCTGCAGGGACCCTCCCGGTGCCCCGACTCGGCCCGCAGCCCCGACTCAGCCTGGAGCCCTGTCGGGGCTTCAGACCCCAGGCCCCTTGGCCGACCCCCCTTGGCAGGAGGACTGACCCGACCTCAGAGGGACCTGGTGGGGTTGAGGGGGGGCCGTGGAGACCCGAGGGCTGAAAGGGCAGGAGCCCGTTCTGGTCCCCTCCCCCATCGCTCCGCAGGGAGCACCCCAGAAAGTCCCGGCCCAGTGAGGACTGATCTGTGTCACTGACCCCAAATCCAGACGGGTGTCTGGGCCGGGCTGACCCCAGGTGGCCCCTCCACCTTGAGGCCAGACTGCCCAGGTGGGAAAAGAGAAAGGGGAAAGCGGCCTCCTCTGGAGGTGTGTCCTGGGAGCCCCCCAGCCCCAGCTCCCCCCCAGGGCCAGCGCGCCCCCCGAGAGGAGGCCGGCCGGGCACGCGGAGCTGGGCATCTCCAGCCTTGGTCCTCAGTTAGCGGCAGCGTCCTGGAGGCTCTGAGCCGGGTGGCTGCAGCTGTTCCCGGAGACAGGTGCCCTGGAGCCGGCCCAGGCCCCCGGGGGTCTGTGTGGGCTGCTGGGGGTGTGCGTGCACGCTGCCTCACACGTGCGAGGCTGTCGGTCTTCCGGCACGCCTAGGGGTGTCTGGCAGTTTCCAGGGAGCTCCCCTCCTCTATTCATCGGCCGAGCCGGCTCTGGGAGCCGCACGGTTGCGGGGCAAGGGCCTGCGTTTGGCCTCGGACACACTCTCCTCCTGCCTGGACCTCAGCGTCCCCACCAAGGGGGCCTCGCACCCCTTCACACAGCTGACGGATCTCGCAGGCCCAGTGCCGTGCCTGTTGATGGGGGGCCCTTGTCCCGGGGAGCTCAGGGAGGCCTGGTGGGGCTAGGGGCCGGGAGGCAGTGGGGTCCCTGCACCAGGCTGCGGGTGGCTGAGGTTGGGCGCAGGCGGTGTTGACGGAGGAGGCAGGGGCCGGCTGGGGCCTGGGGCCGGGGCTGCTTGCGGGGAGGCTGATGAGCCAGGGCCTGTGCAGGCCTCTGGGGAAGGTGGCCCACCCGAGGGCAGCCCTGGGCAGGCCTCGTCCCTCTTGCTGGGGCAGGTGGTGACAGGCAGCCCTTGGTGGTGGGTGTCGTGTCCACATCTGAGAGAGCTGGATGAGGGCTGCGCCCTGGCCGGCCTCGGTGGATGCACCTGTGGACCGGGGCCCTCCGGCACCGGCTCCTCACCACTGCAGACTTCCAGTCTATCAGTGGCCTTGTGGTCGTGGAGCCTTTCCTGGGTCCTCCCACGTGCAGCTCCATGGGAGGGGAGTGTGCCACGGGCCTCAGGGCAGGGAAGAGCCGCCTCTCCAGGGTGTTAGGGCGGTGGGGCTGGAGGGGATGTTCCCGGAGAAGAGAGTCAGGCGCTCCAGGCAGGACCCGGCCCGGGGACTGGGCGGGAGAGGACTGGGCTGGGGGAGGGTCCACTTGTCCCCTCTGGGTTGCTGTGGGCCCTGAGCCCTGCACCCCATGTCCTGGTCCCCAGGGTCTTGGGACCCCACTGTGGCCTCCCATCCGGCCCGAGGATTCGTCCCCCGTCCCCCGCCCCTCCTCCCTGGCCCTTAGCCGATGAGCCGGCCCCTCTCTGGCTCGCTGGGGGCCTGGCTGTGAGGGGCGCAGCTGCCTGGCCCCCCTTACCCCGAAGGCCGGCTCCCTTGGGTGGACCTGGGTGGGGGCAGGCCCTTGCATGGGGGTCTCACCGCTGAGACTCCCCAGACCCCGGCTACAGTAGAGGGGGGCCTGGGAGGGGAGGAGGGGCCGCCCTGCCCGCTCTTCGTGAAGACCCCAGGGCTCTTGCTTTTAGAAATCGTCTCCCTCCCAGGAGGGCCCGCGGGCAGCAGTAGAGAGGGTGTTGGAGGCTCTGGGCAGGTGGGGGGCACAGAGGGCCCCCTCCACTTGGTCTCTTTGCTGTTTGCGCTTTGTCTTAGCCAGGACCACTTACACTCGTAATAAAGTTTAGGTAATCAGAGGGAGGAGAGCTACTGTGGAAACAGCGGACGGTCTTTACAGAAGCTTCAGTGAGAACTGCCCCGGGGGTCCCCACCTCTGTCCTGGCGAGTAGCCAGGGCGTCTCCCTGGTACCGGCCCCCCGTATCATCGGCTCCCCGGGTACCGGCTCCGACGGCTCTGCTCCGGGGACTCCTGTGTGTGCTGCCCGGACTCCTGTGTGTGCTGCCGGGGCCGCGTTATTCTGCCCAGGAAAGCCGGCAGGAGGGACCCTGAGTCCTGGAGCTGGCAGGGCCTTGTAGGCAGCGGGGCTGAGACCTGGTCACCGAAGGGCTCTGGCCCTGGGTGAGTGGGTGTGGTCTCCTGACTCCGCCCCCCTGTGTGCTCCGCCCCTCGGCCTGCTGGGAGTTCACCGGGCTCCCAGTCCTGGGGAGGGCTGGTCCAGTGCTCCCCCTGCCGTCTACGCTCCGTCCTGGTGCTGAGTTCCTGGAGGGCAGGGACCCTGACAGCCTCACAGGTGATGCTGGGGCTGGGGTCCTGCAGACATGCCCAGGAACGGGGTCCTCGGGGCACGTGCCCCATAAGCCCCCTGAGCCTCCATCCCACCAGCCTCCGCCCCACCCCATGCAGTGGCAGCTCTGCTGAGGCGGGCACATTCCAAGACAGGTGGGGCTCCCAGGTGGTGACGTCCAGGAGGGCCCTGCTCCGGTCCCACCTTCTGGCCTGGGATCGGCCGTGTCCCCTGGGAATGGGTGTCCCATCTCAGTCCTGGGTTGGGCCGGCCCCCAAGCACGGGCTGAGGGTGGTGACCAGCCCTCTGGTCCCCGTGGACCCTCGACACGGAGGGCCAGGCTTCCTGCAGCCCCTGATTCCAACCAGGAGCAGAGAACCTGGGGTCAGGTCTGGCTTCTGCTCTGACTGAGTGACAAGAATGAGTCCTCACTGGGCTTGCAAGGTGGACCCTGCAGAGGGTGGATGGGCAGCGGGTTTGCAGGGAGCCTGGGGCCCTGACCGCTCCTGCTGCCACCTGTGCGCTGAGCCTGCGAAGTCCCCTGGTGCCCCATGAAGCCCCCTGGTGCCCCGTGAAGCCCCCTGGCACCCTGCACACACACACATGGTGGGCGGACTTCCCCCCTGAATTGGATCAGCAGCAGGCCTGGGTCTGTGTGTCAGGAGGCCCGAGGGTCAGGCAGCCTGGGGCCCCGGCAGGTGGGCCTGGTCAGCAGCCCCCAGCCCCAGCCCTCGGGTGGCCCCTGGGGCCGTTGCCCAGTGGCTCTGCGGAAGGCACAGCCCAAGGTCACCGTGACTGGTGAGAACTGAGCCCCACAGCGCTGCTCCGGCCGTGTCCCCGTGGGTGGGCGTCCGCCTCGTCTCCCCTGCCGGTTCCGTCCTCCCTGCCAGCCCCCTGCCCCCACGAGGCCCGGAGGCCCGCAGCTTCCCGGCTGCCCTCCCAGGCGCTCAGCCCCGGGCCGTAAACGCCTCCGAGTGCCCATGACTCTCGTGGTTATTTTTACATCTTCAGGCGCCCGTGTCCAGCTGCCTGCGTGCAGGCTGCCTGGTGTCCCTTGGGCCTCTTGGGCTCATGTGTCTGTGACAGAAACTCCACCCTGCCTTGCCGCCCGCTCATCTCCCCAGGTACCACCCTGTCCCCCCATCCAGAGTCATCCTCTTCTTTCCTTTCCCTCAGGCCCTGCCTCTGCCCACCAAGGGGTCTCATGAGCTGGCTGGCCTCTGGCAGGGGGAAGGCCCTGCCCACTGTTACCGTGGTTACTGCAGAGCCTGGGCCCCCTTTCCTCTGCCCAGCCTAGGCCAGCAGCTCCCCTGGCTGGGAAGTTGCAGGGTCTAGAGCTTTGCTGTCTCCCTGTGTCCATTTTCCACAGGCAGCCAGCCTGAGCCCTGTTTGATGACAGCTGTCAGACCCCCGTGAGCTGGGATGAGGCTTCAGCCTGGCTCAGCAGGCCCACCTGGCTGGACCCCACCTACGGCTCTTCCCCACCCCCCATGCTGGCCTCCGGGCTTCTGCACTGCTGTTCCCTCTGGCACAATGCTGTTCCCTGCATGCTGCCAGGCTGGTGTCTCTCCTTCCTTGGGAGTCTGTGTCCCGTCTGGGAGGTCCCATGAACAGCTGCTGTGGTCACGTGCCTGCTCCCCCTGAACAGCACATCCTCAGGGTTTGCTTTTTTCCCACCTTTTCCACGTTCAGACCATCTTCCCTCTTGGGTTTCAGCTCCACCGAAGTCAGGCCGTGTCCCCAGGTGCCTGGGTGGCTCATGAGCAGAGTGAACTGGGCTTAGTGCTGCGGGGGAGGCCTCCAGGCGGGGGGACGGAAAAGGAGGTGGGGTGGGCTCCGAGGGGCCCCAGTGGGGGTCTTTCAGAGGCCCTTTCAGCGAGCGGGGCCGCTTGCTTTTTCTGCACCAGGAACCTGCCCCCTGCCCCTGGCCAGGCTCAGGGCAGGCAAGTGT